CTCCCGATCACGGAGCGAGCGCTCTACCGACTGAGCTACCGTGAACGGTGACTCCTGCATTGAAGTCCTCAATCAGAAGTGTGACATCATGAATTGGAATACCATGAAGTTCTGCTTGTAGCTATAGAGAGCTGTAGAGGTTGTCTTTTGCTTCCTCTTCTGCGCTGTCCTATCAGTCGGTATATAAGCACTCACAATGGAGACCCTCATGTATCGAGTGTAAAGTCAGTAATACGTAGTCGTTTATTGTTAGGCTTCCACTGAAGGATTGTATTGCCAAACTTTTGGCTCATGAGGAGAGCTACGCCTTTATTATGATTACTAGTACATGTATTACTAGTATCAATTTGTCCAGACATTGACAATATACATGTAATGACTTTCCCTGAATCTATTCTCTGGTTCCCTGTTCCTGTCCATCTGACTTCACTCATGGCCATCAGAGATAGGCTATACTGTTTCATTCGTAAAAAGTAATTATTACTCATGATTGAAGCTTAACTGAGAGTATTGCATTAGCAATACTAGTTCCCTTTCGGCAAATATTATTTGGTTCTCACTGAAAATAAAAAAAATTAAAAATGCCATTATTCCGTCCAAAAATGATTGAAGCAGGTAGAATAAAATGAAAAACCTTATTTCTAGCTTATCAAGTTAAATTAATTTTAAAAAAACAGCTAAATATCTGCAAACGTTAGGAAAATATAGAAAATTAAACATTGAAAATCCCGTAAAAATTTGAAGCATGTAGAAAGCATACTTGATCTGTAACTCACAATGATGCACTTACTTACCAAACATCGGCCAATTATCTGAAAATATTTCCATTTCTATTTTTTTTTCTCTATGATAACTCTTTGAAAGTTAGCGGAGTTGATTTCTTGATAATTCTACCGGAATGTAAATTAGGCAGGTCGATAGGTCAGGAGCTAAGGAGGCCTGATACGAGGGTCATTCAAAAAGTTTTGTCCTCCAAAGTCCTCCATAAAAAAATGAACGTAGATCACTTCAAACACAATTGTTATGGTTCATTGAATTCATTATCAACCACACTGTCCTTGCAGAAAAGGAATTGCTTCAGTTTTTGAAGACTTATCAAGTTTTGAAAATACCCTACACATGATACTCTATAGTTTCATCATGGGAAAGAAGGTAAATACAACAGCAGAAATGAGAAGCTACATAAAAGCCTGTGCTAAACTTAAAAAATCAGCAAAGGAAACATTCGAAGAGGTACACAATATCTATGGAGACTAACAGCCGTCATACAGAACCGTTTCCAGGTGGCTGAAAAAATTCAAAGATGGGAGAGAAACTTTTAAAGATGATGTACGATCCGGAGGACCAAAAACGGTTAGTAATGCAAAATACTTGCTGAAAATCAAAGATTTAGTGGAGAAAGAGGGAAGATACACAGTTAAAGATTTAGCTCGAACATATAGTAGAGATATCAATGGGAGCAGTTCACAAAATTCTTACCATAGATCTCGGTTATAGGAAGATATCTGCAAGGTGATTACCTCATTTACTGAATGAGGAACAGAAAGCTAGTCGTGTTTCATGTGCGAAGAAAATATTCAAAAAGAGGAAAAATCGACTATTTTCAGACTTAGTAACAGGAGATGAAACGTGGGTTCATTATTTTCAGCCGCAGAGAAAGTTTAATAATAAAGTCTGGATGACAAAACATGGAGAGCGTCCAAAGATAGCCAAACGCTGTCAGAGCACAAAGAAGATTCTTTATGCCATTTTCTTTGATAGGGAGGGTGTTGTGTTGCAATTTCCTATTCCCAAGAAGAGAAGTATTACTGGAAAGATGTACAAATGTAAAATTTTGCATAAACTTAAACAGCAATACAAAAACAAACGTTCAAAAACTGGTATTAATTAAGGGTCACTTCTTGTTGCATGATAATGCCCACAAGTCCAAATTAGTCACAAATTTTCTCAGTAAAGAAGGGGTTAATGTCATCCCCCATCCTGCTTACTCTCCAGATCTTTCCCCTTGTGACCTTTTTCTCTTCCCAAAATTTAAAAGACATTTAGCTGGAAGACGCTATAACTCTAGGTCATCACTTGGGTACGAAATTCATCACTTTATGAAGGGTCTGCCTAAAGAGGAACATAGGAAAGCTTTTCAGGAGTGGATTTCACGACTTGAAAAGTGTATACGTGTTAAAGGAGAGTACTTTGAAGGAATGAAATAAAGAAATGCAAATCATATTATGTCCTAATTTTTTATTCCACTAAGGACAAAATTTTTGAACGACCCTCGTATGCATGCAAATCTCGTGCGCATTTGTCCGTGTCTGACGCTAAGGAGGCCAAATATGCACGTAAATCTCGTGCGCTGCCTTTGCGTTTGTCGTCAGTGGCCGAGGACTATTTAAATTGGCATGGGTGTCTTCGTGTAATTTAAATCTTTATCTACATTTTATTAAAATCTAAATCTACAATTTTATTTCACAATGAAATGGAAATATTTCGCCCGTTATGCAAATTATCCCATGTTTCCCACTATCGTTGATGCCTCTGGCATACTATACTAACTAGACATTGATTCCTTAAACATTTAAGACATTTAAATATTTAAGTGCGGAAAACTAAATGGGACTAAATGACATACAGATGGAAAGCCAGACAGACAGAAAGATGAAGGACGAACATAGGGAGAGGAAACCTAGTCTTCTAGATCTCTGATTTCACCAGTAGAAGACTAAAACAATATTTTGTACCCCGTATATTGCATTGCTTGGAAAACATCATCAAAGCATTTCTACACGTTTTTAAAATTCCTAACTTTATAGAGTTTCCAGAACATTATCTCTCCGGTTACTTGAGAGCTTCGAGACAAATTGAAGATAAGCGAGTCTTAGAAACATTCTAGATGATTTGATTGCAGAAATGACAAATCTAAGTTCAGTTTAGTGTCAAATGAAAGAAATCGTTTATTAGACATTATAAGAAGTAGTCTTTATCTAAAGAAACCTTTTCTGCTGTGGAATCAATCTGTTTTATTAGGACGTAGTCACTTGCAAATATCCTGTTGTAAAATAGAGGTAAACCACAAATTCCTTATATTAAATATCACCCCACAAAAAAAAAAACTATTACATCATACCTACTTCCATTCTAGTATTCAAGATGAGATTATGCTATATCCCTGGCGTATGCATGGGCGTCCCTGTTAAAGTTTTAGGAGAAAGTCCGTTCCATTCCCAAGTAATCACAAGCCCTATATATAGACCAAACTTGCATGGGTGATGCATCTAGGAATAGACACAACCAGATTTGTTTGTGGTGCTCGATCGTAGTGATCAAGTTAAAGTTTTTGGAGCCGGTCCATTCCCAAGTAACTTTGTCAAGTATCTGAACCATCATTCTAATCTGCTTCAAGTGATGAATCTGACCTATATTTTCCGATGAGTGACCAGATAAAAGTTTTTCGGTGCTTGTCCATTTCTTAGTAACTATTACAACGACTGGTCCAAACTTGCATGCAAGATTCATCAGGTAATGGACAATATCATCAAGGGATTGCCACTATAACCAATCTGCTTCTGATGCTGTGTCTGACCTACATTCTTTAGATGAATGAGAAGCATTACATGTTTTGGAACAGAGATCCATTCTTAAGAAGCTTTGTAATCTACTTGCTTGACCAAACTTGCATGGAGGATGCATATAGGAATGGGCACTACCAAACTTGCTTCACTTGCTGGATCTGACCTGCATTTCCCTAACATATGATAAGAATAACATTTTTGGCGCAGGTACAATTCAAAGTTACTGTATGACCTACCTGAACAAAAATTGCTTGGGTGAAGCATCTATGGATGGCCAGGCACTGACAGACTTACTTCGGATGATTGTTTTGACGTAGATTTTCCAACTGACAGACCATTGATTGGTATTGAAATGCTTAGGAGCAGTTCTATATATGACCTGTAATGATGAAACTTGCTATGATGATGCAACAAGAGATGGGCACTGCCAGACTTGCTTCGAATGTTGGAACTAATCTACGTTGCATGCATATGGATGAGTGAACCTATTAAAAGCTTTGAAGCAGGTCCATTCTCAAATAACTACTTGTATATGCTCTATTAGAATCAAACTGACATGGATATCAAATACTCAGTACATGTATCAAGATGTACACAATGTAGAAAAATGACATGAGATTTGTCTTTCTTCTGGATAACGTTAGGAGAAATGTACTTCGATATCTTTCATTACCTACGTGTTTTTCTCATGTGATACACTTGTCATACATACTATCAGATACAATATGTAACATTATCCTGTTTGTTTAACGATAAAACAGCTTAGTGGCCCACTTTTATTTTTCACAATTAACGAAAATGCCTTGGTGCATGATCAGCTTTCTTGTGCTTATATGTGTAATTTTTAACAATGGTTTGTTGTTCCATGGACACACCAATGGTACCTCATCATCTAACGAACATTCTGATCGTGATGTGTCCAACCAGCTCCTGCATCTGGAGACAGTCTTAGATTCGGTGCTTATGGACTTAGCTTCCGTCAAACAAGAAAACCAAATACTTAAACAGCAACAAAAGGCATACGAACAACAACAAAGGGATTTTGAAGCCTCAATCCACAATGATGTCAGAAATGTTATTAGTAATTTAAAAATTGATTTGGACTCGTTGAATTCCACATCTAAATTCTTAGTAGAACAAAATTCGAAGCTGCAACTAGAAAACACCATTTTGCAAGGCAAACTTAATTCTTTGAATTCTATATATATGCTCTTGCAGCAAAATATCACAACTCCTAAAGACTTGAAAAGATTGGAGAACATTCTTACCTTTGAGATAGAGCAAACGGTCAGAGACATTGAACAAAAAATCATGAAGAACATGTCTGTCACCATCAAGAACCTGGAACTACGAGACCGATATTTAACTCTTTCACTGATGGATGTACAAAATAACACAGCAACACTAAGGTCTTTTCTCTCCCATTTTGAAGAACAACAAAATATGACAAAGTTTGAACTGAAGAGGTTGAAACTTTCCCAGAACAATAACATTGCCAACCTAAACGCCTCCATTTCCCGCCTTCAGAATCGTATGTATTTTAAAACGTTTTCTGTTCATCATGTTCATGACATTCTTTTTTCTTATGATTCAGATAAAGTTTATAATGAATATGCATCTAAAGACAATTGCAAATTTAAATATGGAATAGAGGAAGGAGTCGAGTCTCACTAAATTAATTCTAGCTGAAAACTTCACATTGATTGACTAGAATCCTGCTCAATGGCTCGATACTGATTACAAGCAATATATAGTGCATATTCTGACAAACAGCTTAACAGACTCATAATTATTGTAGGAAGCGAAGAGAGTTTGCAGTGAAACGCATTTTTCATATTTGCAGGTCAACATGTAAATATACGATTTTACATACTTTGGAAGATCCTTAGTTGTTAATGATGAGAGTTTTGGCCTATGTACATGTAGGCCACTAAATTCTTTAGACACACAAGTGTACGGATAGAGATACATGTATTAATCCTATTACGGACACAGGCGCTTGACGTTTTTAGCCTTTCCCTTTATAAATAATTTCCCTACTATAATAATTATTATAGTAGGGAATTCTTTATTTATAAAGAGAAAGGCTAAAAACGTCAAGCGCCCGTGATTAGGGATGGAAATCTTTAAATTTAAGATAGATCAGTAATGCTGACTTGAAGCTCAGATCATTCCTACCGATTATATGTACAGTCAAACCTCATTGTAATGCTGTTCATCAGAATGAAATTTTCTCAATGTCAATGATACTAATATTTTTGGTTTCTTTATTAAAGGAAATGTACATGTATAAACAAGACTGACACTGATATGGATTGATACTGCGAAATTGAATAGGATTTGAAATGTGAGAAGTTCAATGTTCTTAATGTATATACATGTACAAAAGTAGATATAATTGCGTTTCATTTTTTATTATTTTTTTCAGGCTTTGAATCCAATGTAGCTTTTACAGCGGGACCTAGTCAGGCGAGATCCACGTATACTTCTGGACAGACTGTTATATTTGATAGAGTCGTCTACCAGGTGGGAGGAGGATATAATCCAACCAAAGGAGTGTTTACTGCCCCAAAGGCTGGGCTGTATCTCATATTCTGTACTGTTGTAGCAAACAGTGATAACTCATTCTGGACAAAAATAATGATAAATGGTTCAGTTAAAGCAGGAGTCATGGCTTACACAACACGCTCTAATGCTAATGCCTACCACTCAGGCTCCAATCTTGTTGTCCATCAGTTACAGGTGGGGGACAGGGTCTGGATAGAAATGCATTTTGGTTCTACTTTGTATTCACAGTTTCCAGACACCACCTTTTCTGTGACTATGATTAATTAATTTTAAAAGTTTACTTTTAGCAGTTAAGTAGGCACTTACAGATAATTTTTTTAAAAAGTACTTGAAGAATTCCTTTTATTAATACTATGAACTATAGCTGTGATAAAAATAAGTCAAAATATACAGTGTAATATAATATTTTACCTTTGTGTGTTTAAAAACTACAATCATACATTATAGGTGTTTTGTACTTAAACGAGTTCTATCCTATTGATTCAAAAAGATTTTCTCTTCTCCTGTAAGTGATGCATTTTTAAAAGTGTATTTATAGAGATGAATCAAAATGTTGAAATCTCCCAAAGAATTTGAAAACGCCTAACATACTCAGTAGTTTGATATTTCATCGAGGCTGTTTCCATTTTTTTTCCAACAGGTTTAATGCATTTCTGAAAATGCTGAAAATGCAGAGGACCAAATAAACGTATGCATAAAAAAAGAACCCTTGGATATTTGTTTTTTAATATTATAAACGTATAAACCTCTGTATACAGTGTATATGTATTAAAAGTAGCCTTTAAAATGAATCTTGTAATTTTGGTAGATAAATCCAAAATTATGCATGTACATGTACATATGGAGCTGCAATGATTTTGAATGACTGATGCTCATTCTCAGCAAACTCTAAGGCTACAAAAGGAAATATCTTGTAAGAATTGCTCCATCTTTGTAGCAGAAATCTAGATCCCCATTCCAAAAACACCAGGACTTAATGGGGGAGCATTTGGGAATTTCTACAATAGTATAACAAAATTTAAAATAATCAACCTGAAATGTGGATTTATCTAACCTTTAACATTGTACATGTATTCAGCTGTAGAAAACAAAACATATTTTTAATGCTTCGTCAAAATTTTATAAATAAAATACATGATTGTAATATTAACGAGGGATCCTGTAGATTACTTGACACATTCCTTTCCTGTTTCCTCACTTGTCTTAATAAATGGCAAATACTGTAAATGAAACACTGTATAACATGTTATAGCAACGGTTTCTCATATGTAAGTCAACCTCCAAGGTCAAGAGATAAAAGAAAGGACCTGTCTCTATGAATTTACCTGTGAAATATAAACACCAAACACCAACAATTTAAAAGTTATGGCCAAGGTTAAAGTTTAAAAAAAAACAAAACATAGGAGAGCTCATCTCAACGAATGTTGTCTTTAAGAAAGGTGAAGTTCCACATTAAACCACTTATCTAGTGTACATACCAGGATGCAACAATAATGCAATTTAGATCACATAGGGCTTGCAGTTATATATAATGGACTCATCCAAAAATTCAAACTAGTCAGTCATCTAGAAAATTTAATTAGAATACAGCTTTTGAAGCTATTTGAGAGTGTTTATCCCTTAATGCATCATCCATGCAAGTTTGGTTCACATAGTTTCACACAGCTTTTTGGTAAAGGACCTGCTCTAAAATATTTAACCTAGTCACTAATCCGGAACTTTCGATAAGACCTTAAAAACCGAGGTCCATTGTCACTGAAGGCGTTGGCATGATTGGGTCACTGCTCAACGGCCTTGACTGCTGAGTAAAAGTCAAAATTTGTAGCCCTTCACCGGTATATGGTGACGTCTCCATATGAGTGAAAAATTCTCGATGTGACGTAAAACAACATGCAATCAATTAATCAATCATCCGGAAAATGCAAGTCAGATTCAGTATCCGAAGGAAGAATAATACATGTAGTGCCTCATAGTGCACGTATTCAAAAGTTATGACCAAGGTTAAAGTTTGGTAAAATTGTTGTAAAAGTATTTCAAACACCACATTCAAGGCTAAATATGTTTGTACACAGAAAGAGAGGTCTTGTCACAAGAAATATATATGTGAAATATGAAAGTCATAACTCCATTTAATCAAAAGTTATGGGCAAGTTTAAAGATTCTGTGGACAGAAATACAACTACACATATGGATAGAAAAGCCAAAAACTATATACCGCCGAATCTTTTTACAGGGGCATATTCATTTAACCAGCTATGTTTAATATAGGTCAAAGATTACAGTTTGCATGCGATTATGCTTTCATATGATGATAATAAATTGATATGATTTTTGATAAACCAATCTAACTGAACTTGTTTGAATTATCGAGCTTTATCACAAATCACCAAAATGAACTGGATTAAAAGCACCTATATGGTACTTTTGTGCACATTTTTGAACGCAGAGAGTTTGTTGTTCCACGGACAAACCAATGCTTCCTCGGCACCTCATGAACACTCTGATCCTAATGTACACAAACAACTTCTTCATCTGGAGACCGGGTTAAATTCTATAATGATGGATCAGAAACAACAAACTATGAAATTTGAACAAAAGCAAACCATATTAGAAGGAGAGATTGAAATTTTGAAGCAGTGGAAACAGACAGCTAAAATGAAGATAACAGTCCTGGAGGACTCACTGTTAAATGTACAAAGTGAAAACAACGTTTTGAAAGAAAGACTAGACAACTTGAATTCCTTATCCAATCCTGATGTCTACCTGAATGAAAAACTTAATTATCTGAATTCAACATCAACAGTTTTGATTCACGAGAATATGATTCTGAAAGATCAGATTAAGAGGTTGAACTATACTTCAAAACTTTTACCAGAAAACTTGACAACATCAGAAGACTTAAAGAGGCTGGAGAATATCCTCACGTTTAAAATAGAGGAGACGATCAGAGACAGTGAAGAAAAAATGATGAAGAATATGTCTGCCACAATTAAGGACTTTGAACTACAAGACCGATATTCTTGACGTACACAATAACACAGCACGGATATCATCTTCTATTTCCAGTTTGGATGTGCGGCAGAAACAGATGAAGAGTGAGATCCAAATGCTGACAAGTTCACAGCAAAATGACATTACCAAAATGAACGATACTATCATCCATCTCAAGAATCGTATGTATATTTGATAAATTTATAAGAATCTTTTGTTTCAAACAATTTCAAGGGGACTGGACACATTCTTTACAATTTGAAATGTCTCTTTCTACTAAACAAGATCTTCAGTGTAATGTTTTAACATGAATATTCTAAGAATTCAATGACAACCACATTTTTGATTAAATGACAAATTATCTTTGGATAAAGTTTACTTTGTTCAAGTACATGTACAAGAGCATGTGTCAATCAAACGCGTCCCGAAGTTTTTAGTTTTAACATTTTCCAGATAAAGTAAGTCTCCAAAAATGCATTTGATATATTTTCATGTGAAATTGAATACCATTGCAATATATACCCGGTAAGTCCTGGTATTATACAGAAAATTTGACAAAGTATTAACTTTTACACCCTTAGCTTAAAACAGACAGATCTTTTTCCACATGACGATAGAATTGTTACTAAAAATACATAACGTTTACTTTTTTCGGGTGAAGGGGCGAGGGTCGTTTTATTTTTAAAGGTGCTCACACTTGAGTTTTCCGATTCCTAAAAATTTTACATTATTGTAATTTCACATAACATGTTTTCAAATACCTTGTCTCATCTGGTGGATAAAAAGTATTTTGGAAATAAAATAATAATAAAATAAAATAAAAAGATAGTCAAACAATTTCTTTATTGGCATTAGCATCAAGACATTTTTATGCATAAAATGATTACTCTTATATTAAAGAAAAATATTTAAATTTGCATCATCTGCTAGGATACATGGATCATTTACACCTAACAAAACTTCTAAGCGTTCACTTCAATAAATGTATTTATTTAAAAAAAAACTACTTTATAGAATGGCATGATATTTTAAAATTATTACAACAATAAGGATATGGAAATAACGAACAGTATTCAATCTCAACGTCCATTAAACAAATATACAAAACAAGAGCAGAGCAAACACGGACCTCCGAAACATCAGAGGTGGGATCAGGTGCCATGGAGGAGTGAGCATCCCCTGCTGACCGGTCACACCCGCCGTGTGCTCATTGTCATAATCAGGAAATAACGGAAAAAATCCGTAGTCAATTCAGTGTATAAATAATGGACTAACAATTGGTATGAAAAACGTCAGTCAGCATTTCATTCAATGATAAATTGTATTTGCTGACAAGGTCATTGTATCGACCATAGAATTTACGAAATGATGACTTTAAACGAGACTGTTGATATTCTTGTTTCATCAACTTGCTTGTCAATAATTTACCTCGTTTAAGAAATTGTTCATACGTAGAGCATGCTCTTGCGTATCGAATCAACTGAGATATAAATACTCCGTATGCAGGTGATGAAGGTATATTGCTGCATAAGTAAGGGAAGTTGACGATAGAAAAGTTAAAGTCATCACGTTTATCATATAGCTTAGTTGTTAGATTACCATTTGTGTCTTTTTCAAGTAAAATATCCAAGTATGAAGCAGATGTGTTGGACTCTGTGGTATCTTTTATCTCAAGCTCACCGGGATATATCGTGTCGACGTAGGAATGGAAATTATCATTATTAATTGACAATACGTCGTCGATATATCTAAATGTCGAGTTGAAGGCCACAGCAAGTGTTTTTTTCTTTTCACGCAAAAGATTTTGCATAAATTCTGCTTCATATGAATATAAAAATAAGTCTGCTAATAACGGAGCGCAATTTGTAACAAATGAGTCTTCTCGGAGATTGTAGAATGAACATAAAATATCATGGATGAAAACCAATGTTCCGTGACAAAGCTTAAAAACAATAAATCTGCACTTTGCGGTACGTGTTTTGTGTAATTAGCAAGTTTTTGTGATCATTATCAAATTTTAAAAACTGGTTTCACTAAAAAAAACACAAAACATTGGCATAATGACCATTGAGATAGAAGGCAGATCTGTTGGAATGTTGATATCTGGGCCATCCTTGTGCCATATTTTACTCACTTTTATTTTAGTGTTTAATTGTCCTTGATATTACTTTTAAAAATTAACAACCAGTATCAAAACCTAACATTTTTTTCTACAGGCAGCGCGTCATTTTCATCGCCAATTTATAACAAATAGAAAGTTTTGGACAAAATTAAGGCCAAAATTTCGCGTCACACCAGGTTAAATAAGTGATAAATTGTCCTGAAACAATCTTAGAAACATGAAAACAAACCATTTCAATCGTATGAAAATGCTAAGAAATCGGTGCTCATGACAGTTTAATTTCAGCTCAAGCGGTGCAATTACGTGCTAAACACCCTAGGATATTAACCAAAAGGCATCTGTGTGATGATACACTGTCAAATTCCTGGATCTGAATCTCACTGAACACATTTTGGATTTTTATAAGGCATGGCAAAGCCCCCCCCCCCCCCCCCATCCACACAATTTCAACGGTTTGAAAAGATCTATGCAGTAGGTGTGACAGCAGATGGGTTAATCTCCTATTTCGGGGTTCATGGTATCCAATAGTAAAGATTGTCTTGTAGTAATTAGAGCAAGTGGTGGTCTTCCTTCATAAAAAAGTTTTGTGTGCGAATTTTCATTTTGAGGGTACATGTACATCATTTCCTTGACACTTTGCTTAAAATTCTGACAAGATACTAACATGAAATTTACACAAGGTCGAACTTAAATATGCATCATTAACCACGAATTAAAGAAATTATTTATTGTATGCATTTGTTCTTTAAAACTTAAAAAAATGTTAGATGAACACCTAGAAGTTTGGTTCAGTGTAGATAATAACGCCAGCAATATAATATAACATTACATAGTGGTAGTAGTCCTAACATAACTTAGACCTTTACATTACTGACTGAAGGCAAGGTCAAATAATACAATACTTGTGATGACTGATTGAATTACATGTATGCATTTTCAATATACCATAATCATGACTTGCATATATGTAAAAGTCATGTGTATTTTTTAGGTGTTCAGTCCGGTGTTCAGTCTCGTGTAGCTTTTACAGCTGGAATTCTAGGAGAGATAAGCGGAAAACATATATATACAGGAACTGTTAAATTCCCAAAAGTCATATACCAGGTGGGAGGAGGATACAACCCTACAACAGGAATATTTACCGCCCCGAAGGCTGGACTCTACCTTATATTCTGTACTACTGTGGCATATGACCATGAAGCCTTCTGGACAAAAATAATGGTTAAAGGTTCAGTAAAGGCTGGAGTCATGGCTTGGACCGCATCATCTTTTACTGTCTACCAATCAGCCTCCAACCTTGTGGTCCACCAGTTACAGGTGGGAGACAGGGTCTGGATAGAAGTGGAATATGGAAGTCATCTGTACTCATATTTTCCAGACACGACATTCTCTGTTGTCATGATTAATGGCTCAGAATAAAGTACTACTGTGACACGATTACTTTCAATTCCATAGGTATTTTATATTGTCTTGATATTCACTTCTCTTACAAGATATCCAACTCAATTCAATCAGCAATTACATGAAACTAATAAACTATATGAATCAACATTTACTCAAAATCATAAAATGTAATAGTTGATTCTTATATTACATATGTACTTGATATTTGTTAATCAACATAAATACATGTACGTTATTTCATTGTGAATTGATATGATAATATAGTATCAATTATCCATTAAATACCGGTACTAGTATATGGATGTTAATGGCTGTAATTGTAAATTAATTGACTTGAATCAAGGTTATTGTGCTTACACCTTTCAACTTTGACCTTCACGATATTTAAATATATATGGACATAGGTCTTGATGTGGTTGATCACTGTTGCATAAACCTTCATGGGTTCCACTGTCTATAACGCTCTTGAGAAAATTGTACTGAAATCAAACAAGAACATCTTAGTGTGAATTCTTCAAAAATCAATATTTTTAAGAGTGAATTGAAATATACTGTAATAGAAGATGAGACTGTTAATGAATTATTTCTTATTTGTAATTAAATAAACTCTCTTATATTTGTTCAATATAAACTTATATTGTATCTGCTGGTGAATTTGGAAAACATTCTTTCGGGTTGGGGGATGCTTTTATACTGTATGCTAAATGCAGTGCAGTCACAAATGCATATATATTATGTACCTTATAAAAGATATGTGACTCATACTACCTGAAATAAAAAAAGAAACAAACATTTTTTAAACATAGAAAGTGATAGCATATTTATATTTTAGTATATAAGATAAGTTACTCTTTACAATCTAGACTTCTGCTGCCTCTATCCACTTCCACCATGACCATCTCATTGTACCATTGTTTGTGTATGTTTGTGTAATATACATGACCGCTGTGAAGTGTTGGATATACTCCTCCGAAAGTCGGCATAAAAAGTATTTACTTGGAAATTAATTATTTACCCAAGCAGTGGTGACATAACTACGGAAGCGTAAATGGCTCTACACTTGCTGTGTTATAACTTTGTATATACATGTATACTGTCTCATATTTTATCGACTAATCAAAATATCAAGTGTTATAACTCCTTATTTATAGACATATTTTGAATTGTATTAAGATGTTCATATAATGAAAGGCAACTTCTTTTTGTTCAATAGATTTTATTGCTTTAAGTGTTGTCGACTGAAATATATTATTTTTTAGATACCGATCGAAACAAGATAATCATATCTATATTGTATTGTCGAGATTAAATTATATTTATTTCGATATATGGTAATTTTTAACACCAAGCATTGCGTTTTCAAAGATTTTAGCTCCACTAGCTGCAATAATGTAGCCCTCTGATTTTTTAATCCGACCCCCGCCCTTCCCCACACACACACACACAAAAGAGGAAGGGTTACGTTATTGCAGCTACAGTTCCACCCACAAAAACTGAATATGATAAATTATAATAATTTGTGCTCCACTGTAATATGTCATCAAATTATTTTTTTAATTGAACAACCATATTGAACTTTGTATAAAAGCTTATATGATATTTAAGGGAACAACACCATCATCTCCCTTTCTTGTATTTTTCCTTTAGCGCTTACCTGATGTTGAGTTTGCAATAACAAGTTTAAAATATATTTCATCTGGGTTGTTGTCATCTTTTCTTCCAAAAGATTTACTGTACTAGTATTGCTGAAAATGAAAAGAAAAGCATAAAGGTGTATATAAATGAAAGAAGAAAAAAAGAAAATTTGATACTAATACTGTAACATTAAATGCATTTCACCTCACTAGATGTACCCGGTAGTCTGTAACTTTTTTTAATCTAAATATGCTGTACACAGAATTATGCTCTCTGGCTTAGAAAATTACGCGTATACCTGTCGAGCGCCAATGATTTTGAATGACTAATGCTCATTCTCAGCAAACTCTAAGGTTGCAAAAGGAAATATGTAAGGAATAGCTCCATCTTTGGAGCACAAGACTATGTCTCCAACCAAGATTTAGTGTGGGGCATCAAGAGACTTCTACAATACAAAAAGAACACTGATACCTATATCTAACCACCGATATTTGGTATGTTAACTAAATTCTGCCATTACCCATGCATCTGAATTTAATTCCAAATATTCACTTAGCACTGAATTCACATGAAGGTATTGCAAAGTAATTCAATGCACAGTAAATTTAGTTGAACTAATTCGCATTTAATTCTCCATGTGAACACTCAGTTCAAATTTAATTTGCAGTAACTCATATTTAATTCTAATTAAACTTGATGTGTCAGATGGGCATATTTATCTATATATTCTGAAAAATTCACGTCTAGCAAAGCTATACTCCAGATGCTTTCATCAGAATTTCACCTCATTCTTACAGTGTTATCGTACTCCACATACTTGTTCAAGACTTTTAGAATTAATCTTGTCCATGCCATTTTTCAGAAATTATAATATACATCGCTGTAATAAAATACAAGCCCTCAGGGAATATTTCTTGTTGTAGGTTTAATAAAAGAGTTATCCCACTAACAACAAATGGATGTGTTTAATATAATCATAATACCACCGCATTTCTCCAAAATAACAAATAAATTGATATTTTATATGATACAGGCATTGACATATCATGCTTAAAAATAATAAATATTATCAAAATTATTTTTCTGTCCATAGAGCAATATTCTAAACAGACTCCGTCCAGTAATTTACCCAAAACAAAGGAAAATATTTGTTTTCATTTAAGTTTGTTATAAATATGTAATAGCTGACTGCTGATTCATTTTTTTCCATATCACTTATCACTTCATAATGCACGAATAATTACCATTGATTTCATTACAAGGTAAACATAAATCAAAGATTATTTAGAGTGCATTTGATTCGGTTTTTATCAATTGATAAAAACAAATCAATTTGTTTTATGATAAAGTCACATCACATGAGTTGACTTGTTTGAATTGACTTTAATTATAAACAACCAAAATGCATGGAATTACAAGCACCTTTATGGTATTTATATGTACGTTTTTGAAAGCAGAGAGTTTGTTGGTCCAAGGACAAACCAATGGTACCTCAACATCTAATGGACATTCTGATCCGGATGTGTACAAACAACTTCTTCAATTGGAAACGGATTTAAGTTCAATAATGAAGGATCAGAAACAACAAGCTGAGAAGCAAACCTTATTAGAAGGAGAGATTAAATCGCTGAGGCAATGGAATCAAACAGCCCAAATAAAGATATCATTGTTAGAAAGCGAAAACAAAAACTTGAAAGAGAGACTAGAAATCAAGAATTCTTCTTCCACTTTATCAAAACAAAACTTGACAACATCAGAAGTCTTAGGAAAGCTGGAGAACATCTTAAAGTTCGAAATAGAGCAGACAGTCAGAGACAGTGAAGAACAAATTATGAAGAACGTGTCTGTCACAATCACAGACCTGGAACTCCGAGACCGATATTTATCACTTTCTTTGTTGGATGTACACAGCAACATGACAATCCTTGACAACACACTTTCCAATCTCAGGTAGCAACAGAAGATAAACGAAGAGCAACAGAATATGACAATTCAACATTTATCACTTTCTCTGTTGGATGTACACAATAACACAGCAGGGTTGTCATCTTCTTTTTCCAGTTTGGATACGCGTCAAAAACAAATGAATAGCGAGATCCAGATGCTGTCGAATTCCCAGCAAAATGACATTACCAAACTGAATGATACAATCAACCATCTGAAGAATTGTATGTATACTATTAAATTTTTATACCCCTGTAATCAAAGGTTCAGGGGTATATTGTTTATGTCCCTCCATCCGTCTGTCTGTCGGTTTGTTTGCAAAAACATTAACCTTGCCCTAAACTTTTTAGTTGGTGGTTATAGGGTTTTCACAGGTGTATTCCTTATAACAAGACCCTTCTTACCACCAAATTTGACACCTTGACCTTGGAGTTTGACCCACTTTTACTAAAAATTGCCAAATTTCAACCTTGGCCATCACTTTTGCACAGTTGGCGCTTTGGCGTTGATATTTTAGATGTATATTCATTGTGATGAGGCCCTTCAATGGGTATGAATGCTTTTGATCGTTTTACTTTGACCTTAGAGTCTGGACTGCTTTTAAAAAACTTTAATCTTGGCCATAACGTTTGAATTACTAGGGCTTTCATATTCAAAAGGTATGTTTCTCGGGATACCAACAATTATTACCTTTTGATCATGAACTTGGAATTTGACTTCCATTTGAGGAACTTCAACCCTCGTTTTAATCTTTCATACAGTGGTATCATTGTTTCACAAACACATCTTGCTTCCTCTCAGTTTTTTAAATTAAATATAGTAAAAGAGCAGGATTCACCGACAGCCTTATGTGACACTGTGAAATTCTGAAGAAAAAAAATTAAACCATGCATACGTCATATTAGATAGCAAAATAAAGCGTCGAAATGATGAGTAAACCGATCCGTATGTATATCAATCATAAAAGAAAAATGGGATATTGGGCTTGGCTGTGATTATGAGTACCATACTCAATCCATTAGTTTTTTTTAATTAACCCGATTAAACTCCGCAAAAAACAAGACATAAAATGCTATCCCTTAATGTTTATTTCATTTCGTATACAATAAGTAAATTGATTCAAAGCATCAAATCGGCCTCAAACAAAATTTAGCATTAAAAAAAATCTTTCATGATTTTAAAAGCGTCCATGCAAGGAAAGCACGTCAAGATATTCAAAAGTGAATCCCCCGGTAGTTGAATCATTTTAGGTCACCTGAGTCACTCAGGTGACCTATTGCTATCCGTTTTCGTCCGTCGTCGTCCGTCGTCCGTCGTGTGTCGTGTGTTAACATTTGGACATTTTCAGCTTCTGCACTGAAACCACTGAACCAAATTCAACCAAATTTAGTATACAGCATCTATGGGTGAAGGGGAACAAAAATTGTGAATTTCATGGTCCCCGCCCCCCTGGGGCCTGAGGGGTGGGGCCAAAACCACTAAAATTAGTGCAATCTTTAAAAATCTTCTTCCTTACTCCTGGACATCAAGCAGGCTAACTGTTGACATGAATGTAATGAGCATTGAGTCTTCTACCAAAATTGTGAAATTCATGGCCCCAGGGTCAGGGGTTCTAGTGCTAGGGCGGGGCTAAATAGGTTATATAGTGAAAATGCATTATTTCTTTAAAAATCTTCTTCTCTGCTCCTGGGTATTAAATAAACTAACTAAGTACATAGTTATGATGAGAAAGAATGCCTCTTCCAAAATTGTGAATTTCTTGGCCCCAGGGTCAGGGGTTCTAGTGTTAGGGCGGGGCTCTATTGATTATATATAGTGAAAATGCATTGAATCCCTGAAAATCTTCTTCTCTGCTCTGGGGTATTAAATAAACTAGCTAAGTACATAGCTATGATGAGCAAGAGTGCCTCTTTCAAATTTGTGAATTTCATGGCCCCAGGGTTAATGTTTCTGGTTTTAGGGCGGGGCTCTATTGATTACATAGTGAAAATGCATTAAATCTCTGAAAATCTTCTTCTCTGCTCCTGGATATTAAATAAACTAACTAAGTACATAGTTATGATGAGCAAGAGTGTCTCTTCCAAATTTGTGAATTTCTTGGCCCCAGGGTCAGGGGTTCTAGTGCTAGGGTGGGGCTATACAGATTATTTGAAGTGAAAATGCATTATTTTTAAAAAAAAATTCTCCTCTGACCCTGAGTATTAAATAAACTAACTAAGTACATAGTTATAATGAGCAAGAGTGCCTCTTCCAAATATGTTAATTTCATGGCCCCTATGTCAGGGGTTACGCTATTTGGTGTAAGGAGAGGGGGGCTCTACATTACATTAATTCTTTGAAAATCTTTTCCTTTGCTCCTGGGTATTATGCCAGTGATCTAAGTATATATATATATATATATATATATATATATATATATATATATATATATATATATATATATATATATATATATATATATATATATATATATATATATATATATTTATGATGAGGAAAGGTGCATCTAGCAAAATGGTTAACTTCATGCCCTCTGGGTCAGGGGTATCGGGGGGGGGGGGGTACATAGTCTGAAAATAAATGAATGCTTTGAAGTCTACTCATTAGTATTAATCAACCATATTTGATGAAATAACATTTATGATGATAAAATTTTGAAATATGTGGCCCCAGGGTCTGTGGTTCCTGTGGGGTGGGGTGCACAATTGCATGGTTTAGAATGGAAGTGCATTTTTCTCTTAGTTACTCTGATCTACTTATGGGTGTTAAGTAACTATCTAGTAAGCATTGCTAAGTGTATAATTATGATAAGCAATAGTGCCTCTTTCAAAATCGTGATTTTCATGGCCTCTGGTTTAAAACACAAACTAAATTCAAATGTTGGAAAGTTGTTACATGATACTCAGGTGACCTATAAGGCCCGTGGGCCTCTTGTTATTTCATGCTGTCTTCAAAGCAAAATAAATGATTTTAAAAAAGTAAATAAATAGACATTTCAACGTATTTGCTCATAAATAGATTCATCGATGTTATTAACCATAAATTATCAATTATCTGATGAAAATGATAATGAAATTGAAATGTAATTACTTACTTTAAATCAAGTGTTTGAAATATTTTACTCACGATTTTTACTTGTTATCATTTAAGAATTTTTTTTAACTGAACTAATTAAAAAATTACCTCTCATTTCCCCATGTGCACTTTCCAACACTACCACAAATAGATCGACCGCTGCTGCAGCCGATAATAAATTGTATTCTTCATCAAAAAGCATTTTTTTAATTCTTAAAATTTTATTTTACATTGCTGAAATTCTCATGGTCTTTATTATAATTTGTGCATTTACGATATAAATATTGATTAAATAAAACAACAATAAACAAACAAAAATCTCTTAAATAAATCGGACTCGAGGCTAATTGTATGTAGGTCGGCA